CTTTGTGCACAGAGTATGACTTCTGGAGATGATTTCTGACCTGGTTCTGAAGTCCATGAAGATGACTTTCAAAATAATTTTGAATATCTTCTTGCAAACTCTGAAATGACATTTGTTTCACTGTATCAAAAAGCATTCCATACTGGACTTTGATCAGATCCATTTGCTCGTACATTTTTCTTTGCTGTTCAAGAATCTCCCGTTGCTGGCTAACCAACACGTGCTGCTGTTCAGCAAGTTTTTGCTGCAAATCAACAATGATCTGCTGTTGGCTTTTCAGCATTTCAGTGAATTTCTCGTGCCCTTTCGCAAGGTGCAGTTGTAGTATTAGGGCATCTTCAGATGGAACTTCATTTTCTCCTGAAATACAAATGATCTATTATTGTCCAAGCTTGTTGTATTATCTCTTCAAAGGCATTCAAATTTTAGCAAATTAATGAAAAGTCTCACTAAATTCAAGCCATCATTATAAGGTCAGTTTCCTTTACTATCTTTGTAGCCCCTTCATGGAACCACAAGGTTTTCCATTCCATAAGAAGCTTATGAAATCATCATTTGCCCCTGCTTCAGGGTATAAATTAATCACCACATCAATAACAGATTAATCATTCCTATGTACATGTTCAAACACAGTAAAGAGTAAATGGCCAATTTTCACTGTAGAAGTGATAAAATGAAGTGATAAAACTTGCTGCAAATACTAAGCTATTAAGGGTAGTAAAAGTAAGGGTCAATTGCAAAGAGCTGCAAAAGGAGTCTATGATACTGAGCAGCAGCAATAAAATGACAAAGAAAGAAGTTCAGAGGAGACAAAGGTGAATTGAGGTTCTCACTAAAAAAAAATCCCATTTTTTTAGATCAAATGTCATACTTGTAGATTATTATTGCTACTTGAAAATGGTCTTGAAGTAATATATCTAGACATAGATGTTGGGCTACAGATCCATGTAATCATCAGTTCAGTGCCCAACAGAGTTCAGAAAGGCAAATAAAATGCTGGGACTAATTAGAAGAAGAACATATAACAGAATATAATATATCATTATGACATTACATTAATCAATAGAGCATCTGAATACAGAATGCAGTCCTGGTTCCCCACCTCAAGAAGGACTACAGAAGAACTCACAAGTTCACAAAAAGGGCAGCAAGGAAAATCTAACATATGATACTGCTGCAATATGAGAAAGTAGGTAAGACTTTTCAGGATCAGGAAAAATAAAAAAAAACCAAACTGTGCTATATTACAGGTATCCTAGAGCAAGTAAATGTGAAAAGACTCTTCTGACTTTCTTCCAATACAAGAATTAAAGGACTCTAAATGAAGGCAGCAGTTCCATACACACTAAAACTTCAAAATAAAATCAATTTGGGGCTTAAAGATAGACATCGATCAGATTCAGGAAATCTAAGTAACAAACTGCTGGAGCTGAGAAAATTATCTATGAAAACACTGTGTTGTACTTTCTACAGTATCTGCTGCTGGACACTGCCAGAGAGAATCCTCAATCCATATAATCACTCATCTGTTCTTAAGCAGCACTGATTTTTATTTTTACAAGCACAGAACATGAAGGATGACACAATGAACAAAGACCATATCCAGTTCTTGTTTAGAGTCCTCAAAATATTTTGCTGTTTGGTTAGTTTTACTCACAGCACAAGGCACATATTAATTTCTATTTTTCAGCACTAACTTAAACATTAAGGTAGTTTGCAGTATACTGGATTTGAGAAAACAAAGACCAGGATAAGAAAACAAAACCCAGTTTCTGTGCATTCCTTCTTTTGGGATGCCAGTGTTTCATCTGAAGTAAGTCGCACTCATGGTGCTGCTGAGAAATAGCAGGGACAATGGGCTCATCTGATTTGAAATGGGACTACAAGCCTGCACTCCAGCATCTTCACCTGGCCAAAATAAGCGGTGGTTCAGCTGCAGCTGGCAGGAGTCTTCCAGGCAGCAGGTCTGTGTAACCCTGCAGACGGGCTGTGCTGGCTGTGACAAGCAGCTGCCTCATGCACGAGCCTGCAAACATGGACACCACGCTGGGAATCAGCTTGAGTCCCTGGTACTGGCCTGTACCTTGGAGGGCTGGCATCAGGCATGGCCCTCAGCAAGCATCTGAGTAGAATGCACTTCATATGAATGGGGCTTTTTAACAGGCTGAACAACAGTCTACTCGGTTCACCAAAACACAGTTTTTTCCAGCAGGTTAACTGGAGCAGGGATATTTTAATTACTAAAATCACTGCAAATCTACTCAGACACTGTCACAAAACTGGCAGACATAGACTGGGATGGGCCACTCGGTCTCCACCTGTGCATAGTGAATTAATGCAGTAGAAAAATGGCCTTTGGGTCACCTAGGCAGTATATTCCAGCTCCCCTGCTGTCTGAGGAGAGGTCAACAGCAAAGGAACATCCCATTCAGCTGGTATTAGTAATGTGCTGAAGTGGTACCTTGAGAGAAATGTTCCTCTAAGAACACAGAAAGACAGGAACAGTCACTGACCTTTCTCTTGAATCACTGAATAACGGCTTGCGTTGGAGGAGTTCGTCTTCCAATGAAGATGGACTTAAGAGCTCATCCAGATCCAATGCCCCTGCCACGGGCAGGGACACCCTGCGCTAGACCAGGTTGTTCAAAGCACCATCCAACTTGGCCATGAATATTTCCAGGAGTGGGGCATCCATGAACTCTCTGGACAAGCTGTTCAGTGCCTCACCACCCTCACAGTAAAGAATTGCGTCCTAATATCTTATCTACACCTACTCTCCTGCAAGCTGGAAGCCCAACTTGTCATGGATATTATACCTGTCTGAGTTGCAGCTCTCCACAGACTATTGTCAATGCATTTCTCCTGATGAGAGATCTGATTATCACATTATTTTTTCTGTTTGTTTCAGTAGACAAGTCATGCTGGAATAGCTATACAAACCATGCTCATTTGCAATATTTGACTCCAGCTGCCAATGGGGATTCCTCTGCACTACTGTAGGAAACCCACTGACCTATGCTCAAAAGAAGGTCTCAGGGAAACACAGAGAATGTCAGAGGCCACAAGCAGAGCAGAACGCTGGATGCTTGCCTATACACTGACTTGGAGGAAACCAAAGACAGTCAGCATGTCTTATTTTTTGTTCCTGATGCCAAATACATGGAATTTCTGCTAGATGTTGATGAATTCAGTATGCTGTTCTTCCACTCCTAGGAGAGAAAGTGGCCTTATGAAGGTCTGGATTGGGTCCTGTTCTTTGGAATAGGCAAAACATGTATATATGTCCTCTGTCCAGTGTGGACAAAAGCATGTCTGCAGCAAGACTCATTCACACCAACTGCAGCAGCGGGCGCAAGGCGATAGCAGTACAAGAGGAGAATTTCTGAGGGTGCAGTGGTCCTCATCTAAAAACTCACACAGAACCTTGTGAGTTATCAGAGGTTTGCTCACTGTGTGCTCTGTGTCGACAGTGCCTTCCATGAGATTACATGGTTTAGTGGGCAGTGTTGTACACTGCTTTCTCTCAATATATATAACTTCTCTCTGCCACAGGAAGACGAATGCACAAATCCATGATCATCACTGCCCGTAAGCCATTCTTGATGCATTCAAGAAGTTGCCCTTTTGTTAAGGGCAACTTCTAACCACACTTCTCTTCCTCCAAGACTTCACCCAGCATGAGGCCTGCAAAGAGCATAAAATTGAAAGAGCGAACTCTGAGTCTCCATACATCTTCACCCTCTGACTCTTTAGCTTTAATTCCTCTGACCCACATCAGAGGTGACAAAGGGCCCAAACCTAAGACCCTGTAGATCAGAGGTGCATGTAACTCACCATGTTAGCTGTAACTGCTGATGGTATTGGAGACTGGGCAGCACAGACTGACCAGAGACAGCCAAAGAATAAGATAATGTTTGGAGACAGAGGTTATGCCAAGCTGGATGCTCTTTGTAAGACTTCAATGGAGATACAACATATCTGTTTTCAGCACCATCCAAAAGCATTACTCTTTTCTGTACAAGCAGAATGCTCTTGCTATTTGCTGAGGCTTGTATAAGACAGAGAAGGACTTTGGTATGGACAAAGAAAATACAAAAATCTTGGGTTCTTCGGAAAAACAGAGGCGTGGTATTTATGATGACAGTACAAAGAAGAATATGCATAGAAGCAGAGAAAAGGGAGGTTAACCATACTGATCTGTTTTCTGTCCAACTTTGGTCACAGAGGTTCTCCAAGACATCTTGGTGCTCTTCATGTCAGTAAATCCACAAATCCTGACCATTAGAGACACCTTCTCCTGACCTATGAGTGTAACCACAAACATACCTGGCTTCCTACAGAGATTCTGAATTCACAAGAGCTGTGCTTGACAATGGACAGGCAAGTGTTCTGAACAATGCACTGCAAAAGACACTTTACCACTTTTCCCCCTGGCTATTACAGCGAGACAGGCTGGCACCAATAGCAGGTTTCTTACCAATGGCACCAGTCTGGGTATGGAACACACCCCATGGAAACCTTTTATGATATTGCTATAAATTAAGAATACCAGAAGTACCAGACTGAGAAGAGAGACTTAAACTTGTTTAAAAACTGCACTAAAAAAAATTCTGCCACGTTTACTCAGCTCTGGGTCTCCTAAGTGCAAGTGTTTAAGAGGGGAGATGAAGGGGAGCAGAGAGAGGAGCCACGGCAGTAATTCCTTCACATGGTGTGAAGACCAGTGTTGGAGTTTCTTCCTAACTCTCCCAAAACAAGGAGCTCTGGAGCAGTCGCTCAGGTGTCCCTGCATCCGGGCTCTCAGAGATGCTGGAGCCCCTTGGCCCAGCGGACACCTGCCCCGCTGGAGGAGACTCAGCACCTGCGGCTGCGGCTCTCCGTGACCACCCTGAGCTCCGCGGGCGGCAGGAGCCCTGCGTGCCACGGAAGGGCGGCGCTGGTGTGGGGTGTGCGGTGTGGGGTGTGCGGTGTGGGGTGCGCCCTCCCGCCCCCGCTCCCTCATGCCGCCCGCACCTGGCTTGACGTCGCAGGTGAGCTGCACCCCCGGGGCGCCGCCGCCTCGCTCGGCAGCGCCGTGGGCAAACTCGTCCCCCGCGAACTGGGCGGCTCTGTCGGCGGCGCGCAGCAGGGCGGGCTCGGGGCAGCCCTCGGCGGGGGCGGCGCAGCCCGGGCCGCGGGGCCGCGGGCGCAGGCTCGGCCGAGCCGCCCCCCGCGCCCAGCAGCGAGAGGCAGACGCCGAGCCAGCAGCGCGCCCACCACAGCCGTCTCCCCGGCATCTCTGGGCGCGCCTGCAAGAGAAGAGAGGCCGCGGCGGGTCAGGGCAGATGCCCCTCTCCCTCCGCCCTAGCCCGGGGTGCGCAGAGCCGCGGAACCCCGCCCCCCACACCCCTCTCTCCCTCCGTTGTGCAGGTACCGTCACAGCATCCCAAATCCAGAAAAAAACTTTTCACCCCCGTCCCGTCCCTCCCCGGAGTCTTTCGGCGTAACCTGCGGGACGGTGCGGGGCGGCGCCAGAAGCAAGTGCGGCCTCGGGGCTGTGCTCCTCGGAGCGGCTGCCCGCGACGGGGACAACCTCCTTCGAAAGCAGGAGGGAATGGAAATGTGCAACATTCCTGGGGCTTCGTTAGCATCAGATTTCCCAAGCGCCTCCCTTTAACTCCTTCGCTGCTCCAGCCCCTGCCGGCTGCCCGGGGCGGCGGTGGGACGGAGGCGGGTGCTGCCCCGCGGCTCCCGCCGCCTTTCATGGCTGTGTTGTCCCGCGGCGCCTAGACAGGGATATGTACATGTCTAAAAGGGCTGGCTTTTGTTTCCAGTGGTTTTACTGAGCCTCAGGGGAAAAAGAAAAAAGAAAAGAAAAGAAAAAAAAAAAAAAAAAAAAAAAAAAAAAAAAAGGAAAAAAAACTCCAAAAGCCAAACAACCAAAACCTCAAACCCAACAGGAGTAAAATGCACGTGCGACGCAGTTTTCGATAAAGAAAATTTCACGCGGCTTAAAAAGTTATGGGTAGTTTGGATTTCTTGGTTCCCACTTCGATCGTCAGGAGCTTCCATCAAAGATAACCACGACCGCAGGTGCCGTTTTCTCGGAGGCTGCCGAGGGCCGCAGCAGAATCGAAGCGAATGACCGATTTTGAGCAGAGCAGCCATGTGGCTATGCCCGTGTGTGTTTGCTTTCTGATAAAGCAGCTTCCCCGGGCCGTTTCTGGCAGCGCTCACACCGAGGTGTGAGGTTCAGCATACCTTTCAAGCGCTCCGAGGCGTGAATAACTCCCAGCAGCAGGAGCCACCTCGCTTATCTAATCTCTTCCACATGCTACCGCGGGAAAGCGACACCAAGTATGTGTCCAGCTCAGCACTAACTGCGATGCCGCTTTGGGAAGTCGGCCGGCACAGATACAATGGCTATGAACAGAAGAATTACAGAAAATCCTATTTATTGATTCATTAGCTTCAGCTTCCTTCCATCCACGTGCTCACACACATGTAAAACCTCTCCGGACTATCTTTGCAATGCTCTCATACAGTCCCTTTGCTATCACTTATACAGGAAAGAGGAGAAATAGCATTGGTTTGTTGGTTTGTTGATTTGTTTTGGGGTTTTTTTCCCTACAAAAACGGTTTGAAACTTCTTGGGAATCACCTTTTTTTTTTTTTTTTTTTATTCATATTGATTCATTTACTGTTTCCCTTGCTACTGGAAAAGCATACCAAATACATCACTTGCAAACTGGCTTGCCATTTTTTGACCAAGCATTACTTATGTTGAAAACACTGGCTTGTCAAAACTGAAATGCCCTGTGCAGCAGCAGCAGTAAAGACTCAAACACACAGCGGTTGTAGCCCCTGCTGAATTCTGCAGGGCTGGTGACCTGCCAGGTTCCAGAACACCTGCCTGGGTCAGGGATGCCTGTCAGCTCTGCCAGATCAGATCCTACATGAAATGCCCAACAGCTCCTTGACTCTTTGCCTTGACCTTCAACAGAAGTAGAATTCCAGGGCTGACTGCTCCTGAGAGAGCCCGTGTTTTCCTATGGCTTTGCAGTAGGTCTATAAAAAAAGGCATAGAATAAATTGAGATAAACTTCCACCATTTGTCCCTCTGGGGAATCCACAGCCCAGCTGGAGCCCAGATCCAGTATGAAGCTCTGCATGAGGTTTTTTTTTTTTTTTTTTTCTTCTAAATGAATACCTGTGTGTTTTCTCTAGTTCCTTGATAGGTTTTGCAGCCAGTACATTGCGATCACAGCTTTATTATTTTGAGGATCTGTGCCAGTACATCTAAAGCTACATAAGATACAGATTCATCTTTGGATCATATTCAGAAATGCCATAAAAAAAGGCTATAGAGTTGGGGATGATTCCCAGAGTGGCTAATAATTCATGAAATGACATGAGACATGATATTCTCAGACACTACACAGATCAAGAGCAACTCTTCTGAATTTGAGCTCTTTATATACCAATGCAAAAAATAAGAATAGAATTTACTTTCAAACCTGAGCCTTAATAACAATTTTTTTTTCTGGAAAAAAACCACTTTTTGATAGTGCCAACAAGAATGTTGATTCACACATTTGACTTTGGAAGTGTCTATAACACAGAATGCAGCAGTGAGAAATGCTGTCACTGGTTTGACAAGTAGCATAAACACGTGGATGCCATCCCTTATGATTGAAAAGCTGTGTATCAATTAAATGGAGGGAGTGAAACATTTAAAAATGTGTGTTCTGCTGATGTCTAATGTAGGGTGTATCAGCTATATGACACTATTTGTAGGTACTGTCTACAGGTGCATAGGTACCAAAATCACCCAGGAAACCTGCTGAACATCCAAACTCGAGCCAGTGACTTGTTTGTAAATACACATAAAGCTGTACCTGTTGTACTCTTGCTTTCCTTCCCTGCATGGGTACTGTGTAAGGAGGGAGAGTCCCTACTTCACGAGTTTGAAAGATGGTTTGGAGCAATGCTTTTGTTTTTCATGGCATTTTTCAGATTGGCTGTGTTTGCTGGCACAAAAAGAGCAGTTCAGATCAAAGAAGTAAGTAAGGGACTCCTACATCTACACTATTTGCAGTTTGGGGAGTGTTCTTCAGACGTGGCAATAATTAAAATTCATATAGAACTGGTTTGTACAGCTACAGCCCTGGTCAGGCACTGGTACCTATTTGGTGTCTGTCCGGAAAAGAGCATATCCTGTTAGATTCCCCCAAAAAGCACCCTCTGCAAGTGCCAAAATTGAATGTGATAGGCAAGAAAGACTGGGGCAATTGCTGCAATACAGCCCTACTGCTCTGAACCAGCACACAAACCCAGACAGAACCCAAACCAGATTTACTTAGCCCCATCTTCAAGTACACACAGCAGCTCTATCGCTCCCCGTGCAGCGGCAGGTGGGCTTTGCCCGTTTCGAAACCCCTCTTACCGAGGCCAGCGGGATCCTTGCGGGAGCATCCTCGTCTCCCGCAGCCTGCGGAGCCCCCGGGGGCGGAGGGCCCGCGGCGCTCCCGGGCCGGGCGGCAGAGGGCAGCAGGAACCCGCGCCTGCCCGCCGGACACGGCCCTGTCCCCCACCCTGTCGCTGTCCCCATCCCGTCCCCATCCCGTCCTGGCCGGTCCCCGTGCCTCGCCCGCCCTGCCCCGCCGCTGCCGCCCGGGTTCGCTCCCTGCGGCGCCTCTCGGGGCTGGCGGCGGCGCCGGGCGCGGAGTGAGCCCGGGAGGATGCACCAAGGCATCCTGAAGGGCCGCTGGCTGCGGCCAGACCTCGGCGGCACATTTTCTCTGCTTGTTTCTTTGTTGAGGCAGATGAATGAAGTAAAATGTTCTTTCTTGTGCGCTCTGTGCGTGAGGCGGTTTTTGGAAAAGTCCGGACAACCTGTATTAAGCATTTTTGAATAACGTTTGGAGTTGGATGATACTTTGCAATATGGATGACAAAACACATCCAAAGCAGTCATCCATAACACATTCGCTCAACGTGATTTACTTTCCTTAAATTTCTAGTTAAACCTGCAACACTTTTGGAAAAAATCCCTGCCAGGTATCTAAATCTAGACCCCACATTATTTTCCCACCTTTAACAATCTTTTACAGTAACAATGTTGAACAATTATTTGACCCTGTAGGCCTTACAGACATGCTTAACTTAACTATCTGAGTTAATACTACATCCAGCAGCACTGCTTACAGTGCATACCTTTCCAGATACGCATTTTTCTCTAATCAAAACCCAAACCAGAACAAAATAAGTATTTTTTTGGTCTGGTTGTTTTCAATTATTTATTTTTTACAAGACTTTTTCTAGGCTAAAATTCCAAGTATTGCTGTCATTTTTAGTAAATGTTGATTTCCAAAGAAGTTTGATAGTTAAATAAATACTTATGCCAGATGAAAAACATGGGAGTAGTTTTCAGTTTTGCCATTAAAACTAATGGGATTTTTGCACGAACATTAGCTAAGAAAAAGAAACTAAGGAGAAATAAATCCTGCCAGAATGTATCTAACTTGCTATCAGGCAGCATTTGAAACAGTCTAATTTTGCTCAATGCCTTGTATCCTTCACTGTTTTTCAGAACATTAGCAAATTTAAGTCCCAAGGTGTTTTCAATATTTTCAGAACTGCTAAGTTTCCTATTTAGAAATTCTTCTAAATGTCCACTAATCTTCAACCCCCTATTTCTAGGCTGGATTTCAATAAATTAATTCCATACATTGTAAACAGATTCCTAATCAAAGTATGGATGAACTAATAATAGTTGAACTGGTAATAGTGCATGTCAAGGGATTGACAAGTTTTGCCTAAAACAGCCATTACAAACAGTCTGCAATACAAAATGGATAGACCTCAAACTTTTATTCCTTCCTTCCTTCAATGATTTTAGGTCATGCAAAATGGCATGATATGTGATGGCTAATTTGCCTGTAACTATACCTTAGATGACTGAACCACTAAATGAAAGAGCAGAGAGCCATGTCACTGAAGTAGTACTTCTCTCTGCTATGTCCTCCATCAAGAGCTAGCATCCAATCTCACAAGATAGCAGCCTCCCTTAGATGTCTAGACTGTCATCCCTTTACAGGTAACAGTTTACCCTCTAAATGGCATGGAGAAAGAAATGGAAACTCACAGCTGTCCAAAGGGAGAAGATGTAGAAACTCTGCTGAATAATGACAATACTGAAGCAACCCCGCCCTCCCCCACAAGATTTCAGGGTTTCATGAAAACAATAGAAAAAGGAAACAGTATACTTCAAAGGACATAATTTACTGTTGTTAAGTTACACCCAAGAAGAAGTTGTTACCTTGGCACATGGGTACTGAGAACTGGAAAAAAGAAGAACTATTCTCTGTGAGAAGATCAATGCCAAAGATCTCAGATAACACAAATTATCAATGGCCACCTGCACAGAAGCAGCAGCAACAGTTCTGCAGTGTAGCTACAAACAAATGAAGAATCCCCTTTTCTAAGTTTGGGAATGACCTGTTATCCAACCAATTTTAGGGAATCACCTGAAATAATTTTTGTGAGCGTTCATAAAAAAAAAAAGCAGATCAAATTAGTCTGGTAGTACAAGTTTAGTATTTTGTGACTTCTACATCTATGGTTAAAATAGACCATAGGCGGGAAATACAAATATATTTCTCTAGTTTCTGAGAGAAAACTAGATCCTTTTCACAATGTAGTTCTTGAGCAGGAGAATGCATACACCACAGCTTGAAACTAATAGCGTTTCATTGTTTCCACAGCCCAGTGTAGTTTCTCTGCAAAACAGTCTGCTGCCTCATATCAGTGTGTCAATGTGCTCCACACTGGCTCAC